TGGATCTCTTGATACATCTTGTGCTTTATTGCCAGTTTTTGACAGGTTTTTTATTAATTGTATATAGCTACAGGTACTGATCTAAACTCATAGTGTCCTGTCTTAAGTACTTAACCTGTTATAAATTTTTTTTTAAAGATTCCATTGGTTGTCCCTTCAAGGGAGATGCCTTGATGCCAGCAAGGGGCTCTTAATCTGAGGAATTGGGCCTGTGCTTCTCTTCCTTGGATTGAACCTGAATGCCTCATATTCCTCCAGACACTGTTTAATCCCTAAGGGTTTACCACTCCCTCATAAATGTAATAATAATAATTCATGTTGTTGTAGGCTTTATACATCCTCATTTAACCTTTAAACTGTCCAAACGTAGATCTATGCTTTATTTTTCCTGCCTTCAAATTTGGCATGATTGGCCTGAGATGCCTGGTCAGTATAGAATGGGTCTTAACACTCGGTGTGTGCAGTATTAAAAAAAATCTGGGACCACTTAGTACCTTGTGGGAGCACCAGTTCAATTGAGTGCCAGTTAGAGCAAATAGCATGGCAAATGCCAGGGATTCACTGATGTCATGTTGTATTAACACTCCCTTTTTATTTGGAAAGTGAGATGGCTTTGAGATGGATGTGGCCACAAGTGGTCGAGGAAATATAAAAAAAACCTCGATAATAACCCATGTGCAACATCCTTTCATTTCTGATACCACTGGTAGTGTCATCTTGCCAGAATGTCCTATAACCTGTGCCCTAAGCAAAGAGAAGATTCTGGAACATGTGTAATATGTATTTGGTTGGCTGGCTGACTTTGGCTGTCTTTGTGTGTATCTATCTGTCTCTGTCTATATCTATGTCTACCTCTCTCTCTCTCTCAGGTATACATAAGTAGTTATTATACATAATGTAAATTACCTAGGATAACCCAAAAAATCCAGGCAAAGTGCTATACAGTGCTTGTTGTAGATATAAGGCATAATAAGCATGACTGGCAAGTAATACGCAGTTTTTACTTGATCAGAAATGAGACGTGATGACTTTGCATCACGTGTAGTACCTGTCGGTTTACAAGCCGCTCTCTGAGACAGAGAGACAAGCAGACGGAAAGGCACACACACACAGGCAGGCAGAAAGACAGATAAGCAGAGCTAGACAGACAGACTGACAAATGGAGACAGACAGACAGACATGATTGTGTGTAACAGTGAAAACGTATACATAAAGCCAGGGTTCCCTGGAGCAGTACATGTTTATAAAGTGTCATTCCACTGCTTTACTGTCGGCAGTTTAGTGACACTCGTCTGAACACCATACTTCAAGGAGTTTCGTATATACTCCAGCATGTCTAAAACGTTGCTGAGACCTATAAATACTTTCTATATGTTTCTAGATAATAATAAATGACCAAGGCTGGTTCACCTGTCAGTGTGTTTGTGACTATTTGAGTACAGTACTATTTCAGTGCCTAATATTAGTGTCAGAACAAAGAACTACTATAAACTGTAATTATCAGAACATAAAATTATATAAATTAAAATAAAAACGAGGAAAAAAGGTATATCAGCAACTCTTCTGCAAGTGGCAGGACTCAGTGTTGCCATCAGGTGAGTATCCAGTGCCAACTTCACGGTCTTATATCTCGGTTAAGTACTGATCCTAATTTTTTTTTTTGGTCTTATTACACACGGAAAATTGCCCTCTTTAACCCTTTGACTGTCGCGGCCGTATATATACGTTTACGAGGTACCGTGTTTGACGTATATATACTCATAAATTCTAGCGCCTTCAAATCAGGCAGGAGAAAGCTGGTAGGCCCACATGTGAGAGAATGGGTCTGTGTGGTCAGTGTGCACCATATAAAAAAAATCCTGGAGCACGCAGTGCATAATGAGAAAAAAAAAACTCCGACCGTTTTTTTTTTTTAATGAAATGCCGACTTTGTGGTCTATTTTCATATAGTATTTGTGGTTGTATTCTCGTTTTCTTGGTCTCATTTGATAGAATGGAAACTATATTATAGAAATAGAGGTGATTTTGATTAATTTTACTATAAAAAGAACCTGGAAATGGAGCACAAAGTACGGGAAATGTTTGATTTTTGCCGAAGTTCAAAAGTAAACAAATGATGTCATTGTCCAACAAATGTCCAAATAGCCATTCTAATATGCAGTCATGAATGGGTTGATGTAATTTTTACAATTATTACAGTATTGCAGTAGTCTGCAAAACAGTAAATCTTCTATTTTTTGTTTGAATAAAATTTCAAAATAAAAAGCAAGAGTAATATCACAGGGGCCTGGAGACATGACTGATGAACAAAGAAAATGTTATTTTAGAGCCAGGAATGTCTGCATTGTTCATTCTGGTCCTTATTTTGAAATTGTCATATTTTTTAATTTTTGTGAAATTGGCCAAATTGCAAATTTCTGACCATGTTATTGGGTAGTTGAAATCGGTAAATGGGCAGTTTCTTGTACACAGTTGATGGAAAAAATGGAGTTCTGAAGAAATAGCTATGAGTTTGGTTGACTGGAATAATAGAATTAGCCGAAAATAGGGCTCAAAGTGGGCGAAATCGCCGATTTGTAAATATCTCCAAGGTCGCTAACTTCATGAGAGCGTAATTCCATCAGTTTTCCATCAAATTTCGTTTTTTTTTGGTGTCTTTACAATCGGGAAAAGATTCTCTATCATTTCATAAGAAAAAATATTTTGTTTTTTTTTAAATTTTGCGACACCAGGAGACACCTCAGGATTGGGGGTTGGGACAGTCAAAGGGTTAATTAAAATAATTTTTTTTTTTCAAAATATTCGGACTGCTGGCAGTGAAAACAGATCTACATTTGGACAGTTTAAGGGTTAAGTATCCTATTGTCTTATAACTGTTTGCAAAGAGAAATCTTGTGTTCGTTTGTTGCTCTTTTTCGTTAGATTGTAGTTATGTCCTTTTGTTGTGATCGTTTCATATTTTTAACCCTTAAACGGTCCAAACGTATATATACGTTCACGCGTGTAGTGCCCCAAACGTATATACATGTATACGTTTTCTTTGTCATTCATTTAACATTGCCACAATAAGCCTGAGTCACCTAGACATGAGAGAATGGGTATGTGCACTCACTGTGTTCCATATTAAAATAATTGGGGATGCCTGGGTACCATATGCTCTTTTTTCCTTTTAAAAGAAAAGATTTCTTTTTTCCTCAAAAAATTTGGGGTGCTACGCGAGTGAACGTATATATACCTTTGGACCATTTAAGGGTTAATCCTTTGATGGTCGATCACGTGTACTTATACGCATCAATTCTAGCGCCTTCAAATCGAGCAGGAGAAAGCTGGTAGGCCTACATGTGAGAGAATGGGTCTGCACAGTCAGTGTGTGCAGTATAAAAAAAATCATGGAGCCAGTGTTGCATTATGGGAATGCCATTTCAGTACACCTTGTTCAACATTCCTTGCTGGAAGAAATGCCTCACTACTCAGCGAATTGGGACACTCTTGTTCCCAAATGACAGTTCAAATACAGATGGAAGTGTCAGTGAGGATGAATTTCATGGTTTTGAGGAGTTTGTGACCGAAAGCAATGCCCAGGAAGGAAGGAAGGAAGGACAACCATCAGCATAGGATAACCCAAAAAAATTCAGTGACTTATTTCCATGTGGGGTGGTGGGGTGAGGAAGGGATTTGTGTTGTGGAAGGCAGTGAGGGTTAGTGTGTGATGGTGTAAAGCGTCTTTGTGTCACTAGCCATGCCAGTGACTCAGCATATTTACATGGCCACCCCCACACAACTACAAACTTACAGAAGCTGTACCAGTTCTAGGAACATGTCCAGTGACTGTGTCTATATATATGATAGGAAAATAGGAATAAACATTTTTTATTGTTGGTTTGTGTAAAGTTTTGTAAACAATATAATGACAACATTGTTTGTGCAGTTATTGTGTAGCATACAACAAGTGAATATACATACAGTATAACTTACATTGGTCTCACAGGCCATAAAAGTTACTTGAAGAAATAAAATATTAAAAAATAAAAAAGTAGAAAAAATAAATAAAACAATTACCATGTGACTGGCACTCGGCGATGTTGCTGTAGGCAGTTAATTTTGTCAGCTTCACGCCTTTATATCTCGGTAAGTATTGATCGCAAGTCTTTTATATGTGTGGTGTGAATATATCGAGAATCGTTTTGGAAGTTAGGACGAAGTGCCGGATTACAAAACGTTGTCCAGAGGGCTGAGAAGGTTTAAAGAGTGGTCGGATTCCATGAGGGATGGAGGGGAAGAAGGACTTCAGAGTGTATAGGTTAGTGGTAGGAAGCGGGTAAGGGTCGGCCTAGAAGGGAGGAGGGGTAAGAGATTTTAGTGTGCGAGGCCTTGGACTCCAGCAGCATGCGAGCGTGTTGTTCTAGGATGAATGGAGACTGGTTTTAATCTTGATCGTGCATATGGAGTGTTGAGCATGTAATTTAAAGGGATTCAGGGAAAACGGCAGTCGGACTTGAGTCCTGGAGATGGGAAGTACAGTGCTGCACTCTGAAGAGGGTGTTAATGTTGCAGTTTAAAAACTGTAGTTGAAAAGTCACCCTTTGGCAAGACTAAAAGTGAGGAAATGATGTGAAAAGTATTTCCTTTTCGGGCCACCCTGCCTTTGGTGGAGGCGTGTTGTGATTCAACAATTTATACAGAAAAAAATATTATAATTATTATATATATATATATATAGCCTAACACTTCAAAACATTATATTTATATATAAATTTTTTTTTATAATTTCGCCAAGAACATTAATAGAAGGCTCTCGACTTTCCACATAAAAAGTTAAATGTATTTTGGTGTGTTAAATAGCCTACCAGATTTCCTTTCACAACAGAGCTTATAATTCAGTCTTAACTTCCTGTCCTGCTTAGTATTAACATGTTTAAACTTAATTTATATACATGTACTACTAAATTCATGAATTTATGCATTCATTAAGGTTTTCAGTTATATACTTTTTATTGCAGAATCAAGTGACGGTACTGAACATCGAGACTGGCCACATTTCAGGTGTGGCTTATAATGGTACACTTATCCGAGGTGTTGAACATTATGGTCGCAAGCTTTTCCATTCTACCTCGGCACTACAAGCTTCTCTTCAGTCTATTTTAGTTTCACTTGGTCTTAAAGTATACTTACTTTACCATCTTATGGAAACAACAAGTCGTAGTGGCAGTGACATTCTAAAGGCCATAGGAGTTACTAAGGGTGACTGGGATATTCTCATAAACTTAACTGGAATTGTGAAAAAACAGACTCAGAGTAATTAATAGTATTAAATACATAAAATGTAAACTTTTGGGTGAAAAAATCTAAACTTTTACAGTTGTGTAAATATTGTTTCTGTGCATGCTATTATTCTATTGCAAATGTACATGTTTGTTTCTTTAACCTTTTCATGTATTTTATGCATTTTAAATGTTGAAATAAATTTAACCAATAATGAGTAAATATGAGGGCTTTAATTATTTGTAGAGAAGAGATAAAAAATAATTTTTTTTTTCAGCATGTTCGCTGTCTCCCACTGAGGCAGGATGACCCAAAAAGCAAACATTTTCACCATCATTCACACACAATCACCATCTTTGCAGAGGTGCCCAGATACGACAGTTTAGAAGTCACTCTAAACAGCCAATATCCCAAACCCCTCCTTTAACCCTTTGAGGGTTTCGGCCGTACTAGTACGGCTTACGACCCAGGGTTTTTGACGTACTAGTCCGCCTAAATTCTAGTGCCCTCAAATCTAGTGGGAGAAAGCTGGTAGGCCTATGTTACTCGTCAATCCTAACCAGCCTGATAAGAAGGGCAAAAAAATTGTATTATGAGAACAGATTATCCAACTTACAAGGTGATATAAAAAAGACCTGGAAGCCCCTATCAGAAATTCTGGGAACAAAAAAGATAACACGACATAGCAAAATAAAATTAGCAAAATCAGATGGACCCCAACTCCCACCAACAGAAACAGCAAACAGTCTCAATGATTTCTTCTCCACTATAGGTCAAAACCTTGCCAATAAAATCCCAAGCTCAGATACCCCACCAAATGACTACCTCACTGGCAACTACCCAAACACACTGTTCCTAGCTCCGACTAACCCATACGAAGTCTCCCTTATTATCAACGCACTGAAAAACAAGGCAGGAGATTTAAATACCTTACCACCCTTTATATACAAAAAAGCATCACAAGTACTATCACCAATCATTGCAACACTCTTTAACAAATCCATTGAATCCTCCACCTTCCCTACAGTTCTCAAAATAGCAAGGGTCACCCCAATCCATAAAGGAGGAGACCAAACAGAGTTGAATAACTATAGGCCAATATCCAATTTACACCCTCTCTCAAAAATCTTCGAAAAATTAATTCATAAACGAATCTACTCCTACCTCATCTCCCAAAACATTCTCAACCCCTGCCAATTTGGATTCAGGCCTAATAAAAATACTAATGATGCTATTATACACATGCTAGAACATATTACACTGCAATAGAGAAAAAAGAAGTCCCACTGGGGATCTTCATTGACTTACGTAAAGCTTTTGATACAGTTGACCATGACTTGCTCCACGTAAAATTGTCACACTATGGTATTAGAGGGCACTCCCTCAACTACACAAGTCTTACCTCAGCAACAGAAGCCAATATGTGTACGCAAATGGGGCAAGCTCTTCCGCACAACCAATTACAGTTGGTGTCCCACAGGGAAGTGTCCTTGGCCCTCTTCTCTTTCTCCTATACATAAATGACCTACCAAATGCTTCGCAATTACTCAAACCCACACTTTTTGCAGATGACACTACATACGTCTTCTCTCACCCGAGCCCAGTCACGCTAGCCAATACTGTAAACACCGAATTACAAAAAATATCTACCTGGATGAGGACTAACAAACTTACACTAAACATTGACAAAACCTACTTCATTCAGTTTGGTAACAGAGCTACAGATGTACCTGTTAACATAACGATAAACGGATCACCTATCACAAAGCTAACAGAGGGAAAATTCTTAGGAATCCACCTCGATAATAGACTCAAATTTCATACACATATACAACAAATTTCTAAGAAAATTTCCAAGACTGTAGGCATACTATCGAAGATATGGTACTATGTTCCACAGTCAGCCCTCCTGGCCCTTTATCACTCTCTTATTTACCCCTATCTCACCTATGGAATTTGTGCATGGGGCTCAACAACAATTAACCATCTCAGACCATTAATTACCCAACAAAAGGCTGCAGTTAGAATGATAATAAATTCTCACTACAGGCAACACACACCACCAATATTCAAAACACTCAACCTACTCACCATACAAAACATCCATACTTATTATTGCACCTATTACATACATAGAACACTTAATTCTGATATTAACCCTCCCCTCAAACATCTCCTTGCCAACCTCAACAGAACACATGACCATAACACAAGGCACAGATCACTCTTCGATGTTCCTCGTGTCCATCTCACGCTATGCAAAAACTCAATGCACATAAAAGGCCCTAAAATCGAATTCATTACCTGTAAATATAAAAGAAACACTACCTGTTTATAAATTCAAGTCTTTTCTCAAAGTTCACTTACTCACTCAAAACCAAATAAATACTGAATAACTGAACCTTATGAATTGTATATCCAAAATGTTACTCACAATTATATCACATAAATGTTAAACCTAGGACCCAATCTAACTTTGTTATTTTTTTAAATACACTACCTAACAGAATACTCCATTCTACTGAATGTACAGCAATGCATGCAACCATATGACCTGTCTTTGTAATACTCACTTGTGCTTTATAGTTATCTGTTTACAATAATGTCTTATCACTGATTTCATCATTGCTTAGTTAATCTTAAGTTAATTTTAAGCCAGCCCGTAATGCTATGCATATAAGTGGCTTTGGCATGCTGCTCTTACCTGTATTTTTTTTTTACCTCTGTATGTATGCTAAAATTTCTAAATAAATAAATAAATGGGTCTAAGTGGTCAGTGTGCACAGTATAAAAAAGATCCTGCAGCACACAGTGCATAATGAGAAAAAAAAAAACTTAGACCGTGTTTTTGGAATAAAACAGCGACTTTGCACTGTATTTTCGTATGGTATTTATTATTGTATTCTAGTTTTCTTGGTCTCATTTTATAGAATGGAAGACATATTACAGAAATTGAGATGATTTTGACTGGTTTTACAATGAAAAGTACCTTGAAATTGAGCTCAAAGTAGCAGAAATGTTCGATTTTTACCAAAGTTCAAAAGTAAACAAATCCTGCCAAGCATCCAATACTCATCAACTGGTGAGTCTAATATTCTTTCACAAGTGCGCTGATATTATTTATACCATTTCTACACTAATGCAATAGTCTGCATAACAGTAAATCTTCTATTTTTTGTAAGAATAAAAATTGAAAGTGGAAAGCCAAAGAAATATAAGAGGGGCCTGGGAATGTGACTAACGAACAAAGGAAATGTTATTTTAGTGCCAGGAATGTCTTTCTTGTTTATTCTGGACCCTATTTGGAAATTGGCATCTTTTGAAATTTGTGTGAAATTGGCAAAATGGCTAAATTCTGACCACTGTATTGGATAGTTGAAATCAGTAAATGGGTGGTTTCTTGTACTCATTCAATAGAAAAAATGGAGTTCTAGAGAAATAGTTATGATTTTTGTCGACTAGTACACAGAAATTGGCCGAAAATAGGGCTCAAAGTGGGCGAAATCTCCGATGCGTAAACATCGTCGAGACCGCTAACTTCACAAGAGCATAATTCCATAAGTTTTCCATCAAATTTCATACTTTTGGTGTCATTATGATCGGGAAAAGATTCTCTATCTTTTCATAAGAAATTTTTTTTTTTTAACCCTTTCAGGGTCCAAGGCCCAAATCTGAAGTGGTGCCCTAGTGTCCAAGAATTTTCAAAAAAAAAAATTGTTATTTTTTATTATCAAATGGTAGAGAATCTTTTTGTGAAGGTAATAAAATAAAAAGTACGAAATTTGATGGAAAATTGACGAAATTATGCTCTCGTGAATTTTGATGTGTCAGCGATATTTACGAATCGGCGATTTTGCTGACTTTGACTCCCATTTTAGGCCAATTACATTATTCCAGTCGACCAAATTCTTAGCTATTTCACTAGTATTACTTCTAATCTATCGATTGAGCACATGAAATCACCAAGTCAACCATTTCAACTACAAAATAAAGTGACCGGAAATTGGTAATTTGGCCAATTTAACACAAAGTTCAAAATATTCCAATTTCAAAATAGGGTCCAGAATAAACAATGTAGGTATTCCTGGCACTAAACTAACATTTCCTCTGTTCATTAGTTATGTTTTGAGGCTTTACAAATAAATTCCATTCTGAATTTTTATTCACATAATGAATTTTTATTCACACCAAAAAATAGAAGATTTACTGTTATGCAATATTGTAATAATTGTATAAATATCATCACCACATTTGTGAATGTATATTAGACCCACCAGCTGGCGTGTATAAAACGTGTGAGGTCGTTTGTTTACTCTTGAACATCGGCAAAAATTTAACATTTCCGCCACTTTGAGCTCAGTTTCAAGCCATTTCCAGTGCTAACACCAATCAAAATTATCTCCATTTCTGTGATATGTCTTCCATTCTATCAAATGAGACCAAGAAATCACAAATACAACTATAAAAAACATACGAAAAACACTGCAAAGTCGCTGTTTTAATCGAAAATCATGGTCTCAGTTTTTTTTCTTTCATTATACACAGTGTGCTGCAGGATTTGTTTTATGTGGTGCACACATACCACATAGATGTATTCTCTCATATCTAGGCCCAAATTTACCACTCACAGTTTATCAGAGTGAGCTGAGCTCATGACGTAAATCTACGGTTTGGATCCTGAATGTAAAGCCGTAGATCTACGGGACGGACCCTGAAAGGGTTAAATTTGGCTGACCCTGAGAACAAGTCTCGGAGAGGGCCTGTTGACCCTCAAAGGGTTAAAGAGCAGGCACTGTACTTCCCACCTCTATGACTCGAGTCTGGCTAACTGGTTTCCCTGAATCCCTTCACAAAATATTACCCTGCTCACACTCCAACAGTTCGTCAGGTTCCAAAAACCATTCATCTCCATTCACTCCTAACATGCTCATACATGTCTGCTGTATGTCCAAGCCCCTTGCACACATTATTATTATTATTATAATCAAAAAGAAGCGCTAAGCCACAAGGGCTATACAGCGCTGCAGGGTAGGGAAGGAAGTGAGGGTATTGGATGGCAGAAGGGAGGGGGGATGATCAACAGGTTACAGAAAACAGCGGGGCAGGGGATAGTACGGGGGTAGAGGGTAGCAAGAGATTGAAGTA